CTTTTTAGACCCCGTTTGCCGTCCTAAAGCTTGGTTAGGTTCCATTAAAACACACGGAGGTTGCAAAGGGGAAGCAACCCCGGCCGAACCCGGCGACAGATTGACTGACTGTGGAACAGAGATCTGTCCTCTGTCAAGACTTTGATCGGCTTCCTGGTGATAGATGTGATGCGTTGGGGAGGGGAAACATCCCAGGGGAAAAGGGGGGGGGATTTTGAATATTCGGGGATTTAAATATGCTTTTGTGTTAAAAACGTATTAAAACTCTCCTGGAATCAAATCACATAGGCAAGGACACTACAGTGCCTTTTTCCCCCCCTGTGAATGAATGACGAATGATACAATAGATCACAGAAGTGAGGACACCCCCTCACATTTCATAAACATTTTATTATATCTTTTCAGGTGACAACACTGAAGAAAATAACACTTGGCTACACTTTTGTTGCCGGCGGTTTAGACCTGAATGGCTGTGTGTTGCGTTATTTCGAGGGGACAGCACATTGACACGGTTATACAAGCTATATACTCATTGCCTTGCCTTGTAGCCAAGTGTCATTTCTTCAGTGTTGTCACTTGAAAAGACGGACTAAGATATGAAATATGTGGGAGTGTACTCACTTCTGTAATAAGATTTCTGTATCTTATAAATTAGCCTAAATATTAGAAACAACATGCCTTTAATGTTCAGGCTTGCACAGGTTAAATAAAAGAATTCCAGTGACACCAAGGCTAAAATCCTGTTTTGTGTTTGTGGGCGTAATATTTTTGTTGTTTTATCTGTTTTCTCCTCTCCTCCGCCTCCCCCCAGGATATCCACCAATGAGACCAGTGTGGCTGGACTGTTTCCACATTCATTCAAAAAGACAGGCGACTGGAGGCGCAGGACTGGAGGTTTGTTATGGGGCCTGATCTTGTGATTTTTGATACAGCTTTCTCATGGGCCGGTCTAAAGAGCGACAAGCCAAAGTTTAGGCATCTGATTTTTTAAAATGAACATGAAATGCAGAGACCAGTTCCATTTTTCTATTCAAGGAAGGTTTTTTTCTTTCTTTCCATAAAGGTGAGATTAGTTAAGTAGCCATCGGGAGAACTCTTTCCTCTTTCTATAAGCCCTAGAGTATAAGATATGTAGGGAAAAGAGGCAAATTTCAGGTATTGGACCTGTAATGGGTCTTCCTTGCCTTTGAATTATCAGCATCCTGAGCAATGCCCACTTTTCTCAGGTCTACCTCTGCTTCTCCCACGTCTTCAGGAGAGCACAACGCCTCCCTTCTCCAGGTGGAGCGGAGCTTGGCTCGGCCCATTGGGCGCATCTGCCCGCCTTGATCCGACTGTTTTCCTTGCAGCTTGGTGGCCAGTTCCTGAAGAATGAACCTCAAGTATGTCCTGCTGGGAATGCTGTATTTTGTCCAAGGCATCCCTTATGGCCTGCAGTCCGGTCTCCTGCCTGTCTACTTGCGGACGCTCGGGCACTCCTTTACCAGGATTAGCCTGGCTAAGGTGCTTTACATGCCCTGGATCCTCAAGGTGATGTGGGCGCCGCTGGTGGACCACTACTTTGGCAAGAAGACCTGGCTGATGCTGACCATGTCTGGTCTGGCTCTGGCTTGCCTGGGCTGCTCCCTCACCAGCCCCGAGGTCAGCTTCCTCCCCGTGGCCGGCATCTTCCTGCTCATGAACTTCTTCGCCTCCATCCAGGACATTGCCGTGGACGGCGTGGCCGTTCAGCTGCTGGTCCACGAGGAGGTTGGGTATGGCAACACGATCCAGGTGGTGGCCTACAAGCTGGGCTCGGTCATGGCAGGAGGCGGCCTGCTCACTTTCCTGCACCAACTGGGCTGGGGAGCCCTTTTCGTCTACCTGGCTGTCGTCTACGCCCTGGCCATCGGGCTCACCTGGATTTCTGACCTGAGGGTGAAACAGAGGCGGGCTTCGATGGACAGCTACATCCGGGCCAGCCGGTCCAACCCCTGGCGCATCTTCCGAGACATTATTTATGTGCCAGACACTCCTTGGACAGCTGGTTTTGTCTTCATCTATAAGTTAGGTGAGCTTTTCCCAGCGGTTCCTTTGATTTGCTGGGGAGGCGAGCCAGACCTTGCTGCAGGGCGACCGATGAAGGGTAGAGACGACGCAGTAGGGGGGCCAGCTCGGGATCTGGATTTCCCTGCTCCTTGACCAGAAACAATAACAAGGTGTTAAAATGAGGTCCTGTGGGGCAGGGGGCAGGATTAAGAAACCCAGCAGTTTTACTTCATCTCAGCTAGGAAGGCTTCCTATTTGAAAGAGGATCCAGCGGTTGAAACAGGCCATGGTTTTAAGACCCTCATTCGCTGAAAAGCGATGCCGGCTGTGGGATTCAGGCCAACCCATCTGGAAAGCACCAGAATGGAGGAGGCTGCCTTAGACTGGGGTGTGCAAAGCAGGAGACCTCTAGCTGCTTTTGGACTCCAACTCCCATTGTCCTGATGGCTATGGCTGATGGGAGTTGCAGTCCAATCACATTTGGAAAGCTGGACTTTCCCTTCCCTTACCTAAGGCCTTCTGCCTCCTCAGTTCCAGTCCAGGTGGGTTTTTTTTAATTGTGCAATTGCTCTCTCACTCACTGAATATGACAAAGAGCTTTTTATCGCCAGCTGTCTTCCCTTTTCACTCCCATGATAGCCTTTCCTCCTTATCTGGCAAACAAACAAGCTAAAATGTCATTGGGGAGGGGCTGAAGCAGAATAGATACGCGGCATATTTGACCTAAGAGCTCTGAAACCTGTCCATCTGGAAGCACCCAAAAACTGGGCTAACCTCAGTGTGGTGAAGGACTTCCGCCATGGTTTCCCTGGTGCCCTCTTTCTGTGCCCATTCGGCATCCCCAGTCAAGGACTGGCTTCCTAAGGAACTGCATCTTGATTCTCGTTAACAGGTGAGCAAGGAGCCATAGCCATGTTCCCCCTCTTCCTCCTGGACCATGACTTCTCTCCGCAGAAACTGGGCTTCTGGAATGGGGTGGTATCCATGGTCTTTTCCATTGCAGGATCCTCCCTGGGAGGCCATCTGATACCAAGGCAGAGGTAAAGGTCCCCCCCCCAACATACACACACATCCAAGTCCTTATTACACCTTCCATTCCATTTCTTTTTTTTTTTAAAGCTTGGTTTCTAAAAAGACAAAATGAAACACATCAGGCACCTGGAGAGATGTTGAAAGACTGCGAATGTCGTGGGATGGGAGGGTGGGCCAGAACTTGGTGCTAAATCGGAACACAGGACCTGCGTCCCTGGGGAAGAAAAGAGGAAAAGGCACAGAGCTTCCCCTGCCACAGAGCTTCCCCTGCCCCCAGCTCCCGGCTGGCAGGTGGGAGGTCGGCCTGAGCGTGGAGGCTGGCTCCAAGGAACGTTAGGGAAAGAGGATGCAACTGCCTGGCGGTCTGATTCTTCAGCCCTTATTATCTTGGTGGGCTGGACATTGTATCCACCCTGGTTCCTGGCCAGTTCCCTCATGTGACAGATAAGCACGGTGAAAAACCCCTCTGCCTTTTCACACGAAAGGGATTCCCACTCGTCCAGCCTCTGTTCTCTCCGTTTCGTTCCCCACGCCGGCTTTTGCAGGCAGAACCGAGGCCTGCGTTGTGGGCAGGAAGGCTGTCCGGCTGCAGCATCCCTCTGAGCAGACACACACAAGGGACCTCCTGCTCCGGCCTTGGCCGTGCCTCTTGCCCTTCCTTCCCCCCCCCCAGCCAAAATGCACACTCCCACCTACTTCGCAGGTAGAAATTGGGCCCCTGGGCCAAAATAATATAAATCCCCCCTCCTTTTCCTTGTCTTGAATGCAAGCATGCCCTACAAAAAATGTGCAAACAGACTATAAAGGTCCAGAGGTGGTTAAACCTGCAAAGCCCTTCTTTGTGGGGGAAGACGGGCTGCCGGAGTTTGAGGCTGCCTTAAAAAGCAGGTCAGGTGGCCGGGCTGCCTTTGATCCCCCCAAAAAAGAGGTACGCCTCTGTGTAGCTCCTGGCATTTCCTTCTTCCTGGGATTGGCCTTTCCTTTGCCATTTGATGGACCACGTGCCGTCTCTCTCCTGGGAAGCTGGATTTTTCCACCATGCCAGTCAGACCCCCTGGCCGGCATCGGTGTCCTTGACCGAAGCCACGGCTGCCTGCCACCGAATGCATCTCTGGCTGGGCTGCTCGGAGCGGTCGGGCAGGGCTCTGCAATCCGCTGATCTCTCTCTTTCTCTCTCTCTCTCTGGGGCTTCTTCTCCCCAGGTACCTCTTGCCTCGGATGAGGGTCTTGCTGACCGTCCGCTTCTGCTTCCTCGTCTTTCAGACACTCCTGATGGTCTTGTACCAAGACGGATCATCTTTTTTTGAAGGTGAGCTGTCTGGTTGGAGGGTCCGGCACTCGAGACGTCCCTAAGAGTTCCACAGATCCACAAAGGCCCACATTAAAATCGAACAGCTAGTCTGGAAGGGGCCACATTTTTTTTTCTCTCTCTCTCTTTGCCTGAACTCCAGAACTTAGTAGATCCTCAGGTACAAAATGAGAAGCTTGTGTTCTTCACCGCTGGCAGTATCCCAGTCAAGGGTTAATTCCAGAATGAACCAGAACGAAAATTTTAAACCCTATACAGTATAACTTTCTTTCCTGGTTTTGTTTGAAATCATTTTAGTTCTTTTCCCTGAAGAAATGGATTGTCCAAACAAAAAAATTATCTGATTTTTCTTCTTTTTTTATTTTATAAACACAGGCAAGAATATGTGTGTGAGTTATTCCTTACAAAAGAATTTATGCAGTTATACAGTATACCAGAATCAGACCAATAGAAACTTAGTTAAGGTCGAATATTTCAGAATTCTTTGTTCAATGAATTGCTCTCAATGTATTGGCGAAGGCTTTCACACCCGGGATCTAATGGAGCCCGAAAAACCTACAATAACCAATTGCTCTCAACTTAATAAATAACAGCAGCGTCACTAAACTTGATAAACCAAAGCACAAACAAAAAACCCTCACAGCATAGACTTCCAAAATATATTCTTAACCCCCCCCCCCGGAGTGTTTGTATATACTCTGTCCTGCTGTTAACACACTCGGACGGCTCTTCTCGTCCACACCCATCAACCGTCTGCCGGCTTTACTGTGTTATAGAAAATTACTTTGGTTTGGGATGGGTTTCGAACGATCCTCTTACAGAAACATCTATCCGTTTTGTGAAGGTAGCAGGCCGCTCCTCTTCTTCTTAGGAATTGTAAGGCTGGCAAAACAGCCCTCTGCTTTGATTCATCTGATCTCGCTTCTGCAAGTGAGGAAACGAGATTTACCACATCAGTCAATATCATCCGCCGGCTTTGTTAGACACATTGCTTGCCGGATGCTATCCCACAGATGTCCTGTGTCATAAGCTAGGCAGCATTTGTCCTCCTGAGAGGGCTCCCCATCCCACGACTCAAGATTGCTCCCAGGTGGGCCACGCCAGCAGGGCCGGCTGCAAAAGGAGGCGCCCAGGTCCTTTCCGGCAGCAGCCGGGCGGGAGGGCGAAGACCGTCTGTCGAGTGTCGCTTTTTCCACCCTTTGGCTGCTTATAACGGTTAAGGCTGTCAGAGCCTTGTCAGGCCTGACAGGTGATGGCAGACAGGACGGGAAGGGATGCCACAAAGGTGTGTGGGCGTTTGGGATGAGAGTTAAGAGGCGCCTGTTCTTTCCAGGAGCATTGACGTTAAGGACAGACATGGCCAAGTTTGCTCCTCAACCGATTCACTCTGGCACCAATTCTTCCTCCACTTTACCGGGGTGTACGGAGGGAGCTCTTCCTCCCCCCCGTGCATTTCTGAGCCTATGTTGGCTGCCTCTGGAAAGTCCATGAGTGTCCCCCCCCCCACAAGTCAATACTTTTCCATAGTTCATTTTCTCTCTCTCTCACTGTCTTGACAGTGGCGGCCGTGTTGAGCATCTGCCTTCAGCACTTTGTGGCAGGGCTAATCACCACCCTCACCTTCAGCATGATGATGCACTGCTCGCAAAAGGCCCGGGAGAGCATCCAGGTACGCTTATCCCCCTCCCCTCGGATCCGGATCTGGCCCCTGGGGGGTTGGGGTGGGGGCAGCCTCCTTGCTCAGCTCGAAGGAGGGCCATTCCTCCGGCCACGACCTGGCTCGGCTCGACTCCCTTCTTCTCCGCCTTCCTTTTCCCTGCAGGCCACTCACTACAGCTTCCTGGCCACCCTGGAAGTCTTGGGCAAGCTGGTCTTCAGCACCCTGGCGGGCAGCCTGGTGGACGGGCTGGGCTTCGTGAGCGCCTTCGGCATCTTCCTCTCCCTCTCCTTCCTCTCCGTCATGTACGCGCTGCCGGTCCGAGGCTGACGGGCACCCACCGGAAGACGACCAGAGGGGAAGGCTCGGGGGCTGCAACCTGAAGAGGGATGCCTTGGGGGGGGGATGGCGTTAGGGGTGTGCGTGCCCCCCCTGCCCCCCTGGAAGAAGAACCCGGGGCAGCCCTGCAGCCAGCCTGCCTGCCGGCTCCTGGGCCACGGACCCCCGCTTGGTGAACCTCCTTCTTTGACACTGGGGAGAGTGGGGGTGGGCATGGGTGCAAGGTCCTTCCCCCCCCACTTGCTCCCAGGGAGGGGCCAGGAATGGCAGAGCCATCCCTGCCTCCCTTGCCCTTAGCACGGAGAAATGCCAGGCCTTTTGCAATCCGCCCTGGAAGGAAACCTGGCCTGGGAAGTGAGCCTGAGGAATAAAACATGTTTTTAAAAACCAGCCTGGCAGGCGATGGAGTGGTGAGCTTTGTAAAAGGTGGGAGGGCTTCTCCTTGTGTTCCCCCCCCCCCCCCCGCCGCCGACATGAGCCAGGAGGCACCCCCACGGAGGCTTCCCTCCTGGAGAACCCGGGAGTGGGGGACCCCAGAGCCCTACACTGTGGGGGGGGTTTGGTCTCTCCCCTGGCTGGAGGGGGGGCATCCACACTCAGGGTGCCCTTGGGCCAGGAAGAGGGGGGACGGACCCATCCCCCATCGATCGATCAGAGGGGGGAGGAGGGTTAGGGGGAGGGAGGGTCCCCGTATGCTCATTCATTCATTCATTCATTCACCCATCTGGCTATCAAGGGCCATGTGGGTCGGGGTGGGGTGGGGCAGAGGGGTTTCCCACAACACAGTGAAACAAGAGACAACACTTAAAAAAACAAACCACTGAACACAACTACAC